AAAATATATATACATTTGTGTGTATAAAGTGTGTTACAGACTACTAGGTTGTTATTCAGACAGAAATTTATAACTCTATTTTAGTTCTTGTTTTTCATTATGTTTCCATATTTTCCGACTGGATAATTGATCACTTATTTCTACCATTTTAATAAAATCGCCAGTTACTATGTCTTTGTTGTACAGAATATACATCTTATCCTTTAAACTGTTCCAAATGTTCCTTTCATTAGCTTAGTTATCTGTTAATTTTTTCCAGTGTCGTAATCTAATCTTAGTAGCCTTTCATAAATAAACTCATTAATTGATTTTTAAAATCTAGTCGTACAGTCACTCATGCCTGTGCTCTCAATCGCACTGAAAATTAAATAATAATCATTTTTTATTGTTAAGCATCAATTACCTCTTTCCTTCTTCTTTAGCCTTAAGTAATCCAACTGTGAACATCGGCTTCCCCCCAATCAATCCAGTGTCTTCTATTTTGCGCCACTTGCTTCCAGTTGTGTCCTCCGATCTTCTTAATATCATACGCCCATCTCATTTGTGGTCTTTCTCTGCTTCTCTTTCTTAACCATGGTCTCCATTGTTGTATTTCGTGGTTCCATCTCTTATTCTTTAGTCGGGCATGGTGTCCTGCGAAGCTCCAATTTAATTTGGCAGTCAGTTCTCGTGCGTCTTTTAAAGTTTTACGTTTTGCTTCTAATTTATTTGTTTATTTTTTTGTCTATAAGTCTCACCCCTATCATTGATCTTTCCATCACTCTTTGCTTTTACTATTTTATCCATGTTAGACTTGGTGAGAGTCCACGTTTGTGAGCTATTCGTGAGCGTATGGAGGATATACTGATCGTAAATTCTAGTTTTAAATCCTGTATGTTCCATATTCCAATTTTTAACTTTCTACGATTATTATATACCTACAATTTAATTGATTCCCATATCCTTTCTAATCTGTGTAATTTCAGTTTTAGCATTAATCGAGTTTATTTTCTTTGCCATGTCCGCCTTTGAGTTTACTTCCATAATAATATTTGACTCTATTTTTTTATGCAGATCTGGTTGTTCTCTCTATCTTCATCTTATATAAAATAATTTTTTTTTATTTTCTGGGCATTTTAACAATCTTTAATAAATAAACTACGTCAGTTTTGTTCTCGTATTATGAACAAAATTTAATAATTTAATAACACTTAAAGGACCACTGAAAATACATGACACTTGAGAGCGCATACAAAATTTAATAATTTATTATCACGTATTCGTATCGATATTTGAGGAATATGTACGTACATTATAGTCGTAGTCAAAAGTAAGAAGGCCATGGCGATGATTCCATTTAGTCAATTGATTGAAATTTGTTTTGAATATCAATAAACCGAAGTAGGTCGCATATAACAAGTGTCCATCGCCGCGCTATATAAATACAGATTTTTTTATTTATTAACATATCTGGGTAATATTATTCAGCAAAGTGCTAAACTCTAAAAAATACGGGGCCTTCGTTTTTTCTTCTTGTTTAAAATTATAAATTAAGAATAATTGTCATGTTGTTCATCCAATTAAAAGTTGGAAAAGTAAGTAAAAGAAAAACGCAGTCACCTACGCCAACTATGTTTCAATATATTCGGCAGTACTTCTTTCGTTTGGTTTCCAAATCGCTTTTCCTTTATCATAATTCAATTCTCGGTAGTTATTACCTTCAGTACCCTCGGTAGTCTTCATTAAATCGTCACACATGAATGTACCATCAGAAAGAACAACTAAAACATTTTCCGGGTTTGACCCCGCGTTAAATAATTTTGGTTTTGATAAACACCAATATTTCGACGACGTTTTAGAAACTTCGCACTTGCCATAACCTCACTTGACAACGGGAAGTGCGACCTTGCCGAAACGACGTCAAAATAATGGTTTTTGACAAAATCAAAATTATTCAACGCAGATTTAAACCAGGAAAACCATAGAAAGCACATATATAGCTACTTATTATTTTATTTTATTTTCTGCCTAAGTCAGTGTGTCTCAATCTTTTACCAGTTGCGATCAAATTTTATATAATTATTTTCACCGCGCCCCCCTCATACAATAAACATATATAAAGATATGAATATATGAATCCAGGACCGATTTTCAGGGGGCGTGGTGGTGGTACATGAACTTTTTTCGGTGGTACCAAAATTGTTTTAAGGCACTTTTTACACACTTGAGTGCCATAGAGACAATGAAACCTTATCGTTATTAAAGTATATTTATTTGTCAATTTTTTTAGCCAGTCTCTCTGGATCCGCCCTTGCACTAACCTTACAGTAAAACCTTAATTCCCAAATTACCGAGAATAAGTAAATTTATTGAAATGTTATTGTGGCAACATCAATCCAGAACCGATCGTCTCTCTTCGCGAGAAGTTCAGAGTTCAGAGTTCTCCTCTCTCCTCCTCAGACCCAGACCTTAGTCGAGTCAGTTTAGTCAGTCCAGTCAGTCCTTCTGCACCTGTTAAATTTATTGTAAATGTTTATGTTGTAGATTGCGTGTATTAATTGCAGTTCAGTAGGTAAATATACTTAAATTTATACAAAATCATGGATAAAGCATCAACAAGTGTACAAGCGGCGAGAGTGGCTCCAAAAATAAAATCAAGAAAATACTCTTAAGATTACTTAAATTTTGTGTTTATGTTTACTAAAGTAAATAAAGAAGAACGGCCTCTAAGTATCATTTGCTCAAAAATTTTACCAGCCCCTAGCATGAAACCAAATAAACGTAAAAGACATTTGGAAACGCTTCATGGTGAGTGCATTAATCAACCCCGAGAATTATTCGAGTTAAAATTAAAATCACATGAAAAACCAAAATCATTTTTAACAAAACTTTGACTGTGAATGAACAAGCTTTACTTGCCTCTTATAAAATCTCCCATCAAATATCTAAACGACTAAATGTAAAAAACCTCACGCTATTGGTGAAGAGCTTATTTTACCAGCTGCAATTCAAATTGTAGAAACTACGTTTGGAGATAATTTTGCCAAAAAATTGGAGTCTATACCTCTATCAAATGATACTGTTGTTCGTCGAATTTGTGATATAGCTGAAGATGTACAGGATCAGCTACTCGGGAAGTTGCACAAAAAGATGTTTTCGATTCAGCTTGATAAGGCATTAGATAGCAATAAAGATGCTCATTTTATTGCCTACGTTCGATTTTTTGGTAGCATATCATTAGTAGAAGAACTACTTTTTTGCAAACCAATAGAACTGAAAGCAACGTCGATCGCATTATTTGCTATCTTAAATGATAATATAAATGAAGCAAAAATAGAGTGGAAGAATTGCGTCGGAATATGCACAGATGGTGCTCGTGCAACGTCCGGAAAATTTCATAGTCTACAAGCGCTTGTGAAACACAAGTCTCCAGTGTGTATATGGACACACTTTATGATCCACAGAGAAGCACTGGCTTTCAAACAAATGTCTACTGGCCTAAATATTGTACTAACAATGGTTGTAACAGTAGTTAATTGCATAAAAATGAGACATGGGTGCATTAGATTCAGCATTATTATGTTATTGTTAGGCAAGATGGTTATCACGTGGTAAATGTTTACAACGTATTTTTTGAATTAAGACATGGAATCGCTATTTTTCTAGAAGAAGAAAATAGACCGGAAGCCGAGATGTTTCGAGATAGTTTATTTTTCATGAAATTGAGCTACTTAGTTGACATATTCGAGAAACTAAATATTTTTAACATTCAGCTTCAAGGAGCCAATACACATATATTGGATACGAGTGATAAATTTAATGTTAAAAATGTTTGCAAATGTGAATGAGTGTATTAAAACTTACAAGGTTGAACAACAACACGTGAAAGTTGTTTTTGTAACCATTGAAAATCATTTACTGCTGACTAAAAATTTTAAAAGATATTTTTTTGCTGATGACAAATTAATGATGTTTTTTTCGAATATGCTCACCCCCCCCCCTATTAATAATACCGCGCATCCCTAAGTGGGCGCTCCCCACAGGTTGAGAATCACTGGCCTAAGTCTTTGTTTCACTACCATTGTTTAATCTTTGAATGTCACTGCAGATACACATATAACTCTGTAATTATCACATTAACGGTTTCTCCGTTTCATCTGAATCTGATTAGTTTGCCATGCCTTGAGATATAATTTCAGATGTTATTTTCTGTCTTTTCGTACCCACTAGTTATATATAGTCATCACCGCAGGCCGCTGCTTTCCTGTTTTAATTTTTTTAAAAACATCTTATACTTCTTGTTTATCTATCTTCTACGTTTATCCCTTCAGAGTTTTGGTCTTCTTCGTTTTTTATGTTTTTTCATTCATTATTTCATTTTTTGTTCATATATAACTTATCCATGTGCTCCATATTTTAAGATATTATCTATGATTGTGCTTAATTCATTTCTATTATCCGTAATTACCTTTAATACTTTCCTCTCGCGTTTATTTATGGATCTCACAGTATAAAAGAACTGGCGGTTATTCGTTTTGTATTTTGTGTATATTTCGCATTTTTATATATTGTTCCTCATCTTACCAATGTTCGTGTTATTATATTTTTTTTCTACTAAGTTTGTTTTCTATTCACTTCATCCTGAATTCATGTGCTTCACCCGTTTTTTCTGATTTTTTCAATGTTTAATAAAACCATACACTTCTAGTGCAGAGTTGTATTCGTTTTTCATTTCTAGTACAATGTAATTTCTTGTGCTTTGGGACAGTTTTGCAATTTCACTTCAACAGAGAACTACTCACTTCTCTTTCGATATCTCAGCGTATTTCATGTAATTCTTCTTAGTACTCTCATCTCTGCCGTTTCCACAAACCTTTGTGTTGTGGCTGTGTCAGATATTGTTTCTGAGGCATATGTAATTATTGGTCTTACACTTAGCCTTGAAACAGGAATCAGATGCACAAGTTTAAGTTTAAATATGTTCTGCAAACATAAAGTATAATACTTTGCTTTCATTTTAGATAACTATGGGATTGGACAAAGCACCATGGAGTTTAATTAGAGTAACAGGAGATCACCATGTAAGTGGCAACCAAATTGATGATAGTCAAGTAAGTTCCAGAACCAGTAGAGAGACTGTAAACTCGGGAAATGCTCTACTATCGAAAATATATACTAGAAAAATTCGATGGAGTGAAGGTAAGTTAATCTTAAATATCAATATAAGACAACTGTTAAACTAATTAACATTTTTAAGATAATTATATAATTAATGCGTTTTAAACTTGTAATAATTCAAATATCACTTAGACCTCCGAAACAATTTATAACATATATATATATATATATATATATATATATATATATATATATATATATATATATATATATATTATATATATATATATATATATATAAATATATATATATATATATATATATATATATATATATATATATATATATATATATATATCAAAATTATCAAAAAACCTTTGTTTAAAATTAGAAGACATTTTACCTGTAAGTTAATCTTTTCATTGTTTGTATAATCGGGTATTAAATGACCATATTCTAATCTTTTGAAATATGTATATATTGTGTATTGACAAAACCAATTTTAAAGTAAGCTATTTAGTTTTTCTCTGAAACCGAAATTAGGCTTTTCCAAAATCATGGTAACCACAATTTAAGCTTTTGATTGGACGGTCGTTTTTGAATGGAAATTTGTGAGCCGATCGGGAGAACCGGAGAAGTTAGTTATAATTTGGTCATCGAAGGAAACAGTCGTTTGTGTCAAGACAGGGTGTGGTTCGTGAGTTGGATACCGGCATTGTCAAAAGAATTAAATAGTTTTGCAGAAGGAGATAGCAAGTAGATTAAAAGAGGTCCTGGTATCTACCGTGGGTATTTTGTGAAGATTTGTGAAAGTAGTTTTATGGCATCAAGTTGACAAAAGGAGGTCCTTGTGTCATTAATAAGTAGTTGAGTTTTTGGAGAAGTGAATCAGGTGTTTCTGGTTAGTGCAGGAGGTTTGTAGAGACGTTGGGAAGGAGCCGAGGTGCCAAAAAAAGGAGAGATCACATCGTTGAGGAGACTGGACTTTTCTGGGTATGTTTCAACATACAACTCAATAAGAAAATAAGCTGTAAGTCTTTTGTATAATTGAAATTTATATCTGTGAAAGATCTGTTTGACATCATGGTCATTACCATTCAAATTTAAGAACTGAGGTTTTGTTAGGCTAATCAAAAGTTTTTAAAGTTTTGTTGTTTCTTGTTTCAAGTAAAGGAAAATTTAAGTAAAATTGGTTTTCACTTATTATAAATGTATGTAGATTTAAAATCTTATTATTATAAAAATATCATTTATTTTCTTGTATGCTGATTGATAAGATAACGGCAGAATTGGATAATTGTTTTATTCGTTCATATAAAATTAAGAAACCTAATTTTTTTGTAATATAATATTTTCTTTTATTATTATCCTTCTTGTCTATCCCGATAAAGGACAACTAGAAAATCTTTGAATCCATCGAACACAGGTAATATAAGGAGTTTATTTTACTTTTGATAACAAATAAGTTGTATTAATTTATTGGCTCAATAAACTAAGATTAAAGTCAAAATAAACAATCATAAAAAAATATATATATATATATATATATATATATATATATATATGTTTATATATGTTTATATATATATATGTTTATATATATATATATATATATATATATATATATATATATATATATATATATATATATATATATATATTGTTACGAACATGCTTTTGGCATGGCCATGTAACGGATGCATCTCGAAGGATCGAGAAATTACCGGTCATATATCAAGCGCTGTAAAATTCCACCCGTCGTCAGATAACGAATTAGAGGTGGGACTAGTCCCGAATATTCTCGAACATAATACTTTGGTATATATATGTAACGGAATTAGGAGTTAAGTTTAGTTGATAAGAGAATACCGAACTGTAAAGTTATAAATAAATATATTTATATAAATTCGAACCGCTCGTTTTATTTAAAAACGGTACAGTTGGTGTCCGGTGTGGAGTTTCAACATAAATCCAGCAGTGACTTTTGAAAAAGACTTTAAAACTTTTGAAAAGTATTGTTCGTCGGGAACATCCGCGTAGTTCGGTAGTGACCTTTGTACAAAAGAACATTTATAAAAGTACGTGTGTGCCTGTACAAAGATGCTGCTAGTACAACTCTCGGTAAAACAGTTGCGTGAGCAATTAGAAGAACGCGATGAAGACTGCAGCGGGTCCAAGAAGATCCTCCAGGAGCGACTGAAGAATGTTCTTAACAAGAATGGAGATGACCCAGAGACATTCCAGTTTCAATCATCAGAAGAAGCAGTTTTAACAAAAATAAATGAGAAATTTGAAAATGTCTCGCAAATGATTGAAGAATCTTCTAAAAACACTGATAATAAATTCGAGAACGTTTCCAAAAGATTCGATGAAACGTCTCAAATGATCGAACAAACTTCTAAAAAAACTGATGAAAGATTCGATGAAACGTCTCAAATTATTAAAGAAACAGCTAGACAAAATGACGAGAAATTCGAAAATGTTGCTAGAAGATTCGACGAGACTTCTCAAATAATTAAAGACGTATGTAAACAAAACAATGAGAAATTTGAAGAAGTCTCAAGAACATTCGATAAGATACAGAGAAATGTAAACGACAAGATAGAAGACGTAGAAGAGAAGATCAAACAATTGGAGACTATGATAACTAACACGAAAGTGCTACCACCAATTAATACGGTAGCTTTAGATCCGGTAGTGAAAGAAGAATCACCTAGAGACGAAATGGCACATCATATGAGATTCAAATTGCCACCATTTGATGGAAAGTCCTCTTGGTCCATATACCTTAGACAATTTGAAGCTATTGCGACAGCCAATCATTGGACAGAACAAGAAAAAGCTGTTTCCTTGACTGCTGCTTTACGAGGTGATGCTGCAGATATCTTAAGATCGATTCCTAAGGGTCAAGAAAAATGTTACCAGACCTTGTTCACTCGACTAGACAAACGTTACGGAGATGCCCATCTACAACAAGTCTACAAGGCGCAACTAAGAACTAGAGTTCAACGAGCAAGTGAGAATTTGCAAGAGTTTGAAGCAGATGTTGCTCGTATAGTGCGGTTGGCTTATCCTGAGGTACCAGACAACATTTTGGAAGAAATCGCTGTAGATACCTTCGTCAATGGGTTAAAAGAAAGTGAATTACAGAAAGCTTTACGACTAGCAAGACCGAAAGTTCTAGATGAAGCGCTCGCTATTGCCTTAGAACATGAAACAGCTAGTCAAACTTCACGGAGCCATCGAGTAAGAACTATTGAAGAAGGCGACGAACCAAACGATGAACGTCTAGAAGAAATGGTACGAAAAATAGTTCATAACACGATGCCGAAGAGACGCGAGCTCAGATGTTGGAATTGTGGTGACGTAGGTCACATTCGCCGTAATTGCAAGAAAATGATACAACAGTCGGAAAACTAGAACGGGTCGACACTAAGGGGCAACTGCCGACCTCGAGAAACACAGCCCCCATAGTAACTGTTAACATTACGTCCTCCGGTGGAATTCATAGCTTGTACATCGAAGGTCGTATTAATAATAAATGTATATCGTTTTTGGTAGATACAGGTGCAACAAGAACTATAGCACGGCCAGAAGTAGTACGAGACCATCTTAAATTATTGCCTGCAACAGTAAAGCTTAGAACAGCAACTGGTGAGATAATTAATACATATGGCGAGGCTAATATGTCAGTATCCTTTGGCCAGACCACAGTGAAACATCGAGTATTAATTGCAGAGATCTCCGACGAGTTCATATTGGGGATGGATTTACTACGGAAAGTTGGGGCTGTATTGAATGTCAAAGATGGAGTTCTCGAGATCGGTGGTGAAGAGTTGCCGTTTCATGAAGACAAAGAAGATGTTATCAGCTTAATAACTACTTGTGACGTAACAATACCCGGTAATAGTGAGAAAATTTTGATGACCAAACCTGATGGTTACTGCCGAGAGGGAAGTTTAAGGATGGTCGAAGATGTGAACAATGCCGAGTTCCTAACGGCAAAAGCTTTGGTGAAAATTCAAGATGTCGTTCCTGTAAGAGTTATGAATTTAAAGGGAACTGCTATTAAATTAAGTAAAAAAACTTTGATCGGACAGTGTGTTCCCGTGGCTTCGATTTGTTCCATGAGTACTAATGAGAAACCGTCGAAATCTAAGTATCCAAAGGAGCTTGATGATGAACGAACTAAAAAAGTGAAGTCTATGCTGATAGAATTTCAAGATGTTTTTGCCATTGATAAGAAGGATAATGGCAAAACAAGCATAGTAAAGCATAAAATTAATACCGGAGACGCTCAGCCAATCAGACAACAACCTAGACGACTTCCATTTGCGAAAAGAGATGAAGCCGAAGACATCATCAAAGATATGAACAAACAAGGGGTAATTGAACCATCAAACAGTCCATGGACATCACCAGTAGTGCTAGTAAAGAAGAAAGATGGTTCAACACGTTTTTGTATTGACTACCGACAGCTCAATTCGGTAACTAAAAAAGATAGTTATCCTTTGCCCAGAATAGACGATACTTTGGATACACTTTCTGGTTCTCGTTGGTTCTCCACACTCGATCTGAAAAGTGGATATTGGCAAGTAGACATGGAGCCAGCTGATCGTGAGAAAACCGCATTCTCAATAAGATCAGGGCTTTGGCAGTTCACAGTTATGCCTTTTGGTTTATGTAATGCCCCGGCCACATTTGAAAGATTAATGGAGGCAGTTTTAAGAGGTCTAACATGGAAAACATGCCTGGTTTATTTGGATGATGTAATTGTAGTAGGAAGATCCTTCGATGAACATGCCAATAATCTGACAGAAGTCTTTCAACGATTGCGGGCAGCAAATTTGAAGTTGAGTCCGAAGAAATGTCACTTGTTTCGACGAGAAGTGAAGTACTTGGGACATATTGTAGCAAGTAATGGTGTAACAGCTGATCCTGAAAAACTTGCAGCAATTAAGGATTGGCCAGTACCAAGAGATAAACACGAAATTAGAAGTTTTCTTGGCCTATGTACATATTACCGACGTTTTGTCAAAGGATTTGCCAACATCTCCAAGCCATTAACAAAGTTGACAGAA